CTTGAATAATTACTGTCTGAATCTTGACAGGCGCTATAAATTATACTCCAAATACAAACAGCAAAAATGTTGGATCTACTCAAAGAAACAAAATGTACCCCAAAGGTCAGGGTTAAGATTACAGGACGGCATCTGGGAGGGTTAAGAACCATAGGGACATGGAAGCACACTCTGGTCAGCATGGGATGGATCTGCAAACGTTGGTAGATTGCTTATGTAAAATGAAAAAGATGCTTAATCTCACTGAGGGGGAAGTTCTTCAAAGACGGCTGCATTCATTAGCCCTGCTGAGCTCCTCCCAGCTCCTCTTTCCACCTGTGGCTGCATCTTGCATCTTTCATAGGTGATGCAGAGCTGCAGTGCCCCCGAAGGAGCAGCAATGACAAGAAGCCTCAGAATGTTTAAATTCAGACATAGGATATTTCCCCATCCTTCTGCCGGAATTACAGGACAGACTCCAGTAGCTGCTTTTCAAAGAGCTAACAGCTTGTATTACCCAAAAAGCAGGCTTACATAGTTACAATAGTTGTTTTCCCCTTCTTTTCCAAGCAGCAAGATCTCCTTGCCTACTCAGCAGGACAAAATCCTCCAAGATGAAATCAAGACAAAACATGCACAAAGCAAAATCTTCCCCCACCCCGACACCAAACAAGGATAAACCGGTAAGTTCTAGAGAAGAAAAAAAATTGACTTACACAACAATAATCAGAGGAGGTTATTCAAACAACTTACCTACCCATAAATATATTTTCAAGGCTGAATACTGTCATTTTATGGGTAATGAAAAGTGATTCAAAATTAACGCAAGAAAATGCATGCTTTGCATTCGAAAATGTATGCGTTAAACAAGGCACTAAGCAAGACTGATGGGTTTCTCAGGTTGCTCAGTGGTAAAGAATTCCCCTGCCAATGCAGGAGATGTGGGTTTGATCCCTGGGTCAGGAAGATCCACTGGAAAAGGAAATGGCAACACACGCCAGTATTATTGCCTGAGAAGTCCCATGGACAGGGGAGCTTGGCAGGCTATAGCCCATGGGGTGGAAAAGAGTGGGACACAGCTTATCCACTCAACAACAGAGCAAGATGGGCAAATCTTTGCTCCTTTGTAATATTATATGCTCTGTAGCAAGCTGTAAGCAAAGGGCAGCAGTGACCTTCAATGCAGGCCTCTGTCAGGCAGGCTAGAGTCTAGCTAGGAGCTGGGCCCACTCCTCCAATGCAAAGGCATTCTCTTCAAGAATGAAGAGATGGGGTGCGTTAGGCTGAGGCAACAGGTAAATTTGGATAGGCTCAGGGAGACGGTGTCTCTGAGGAACGGAAGTGCGTGCCCGAGCACAGGTTAAAGACTCACAGCTCACCTCAGCTCAAGAGGAAGATTTACATGTGGAAAAAAACATCTCTGTACTATTTTTCTAACTGTGGTAACAAAAGATTAAACAATGAAGTGTTTCATGAGAACATTATATATTTGGACTTAAAATGTCTACGTAACCTTACGGAAAGTTCATAAAAGTAAACAAACCATCCCTCCCAAAAAAATTTTAGGACCTAATATGAAGAATTTACATCAGGTTACAAATATGAGATGATCAATATATGAATATATGTCTCTGTGTCTCTCACACACACATATATGCATTCAAATAAATATTTTCTAATAAAGTTTTAAAGAAAATCATATCAATACATCAGTATCTCTTAAAACCTAGATAAATGAGAGCCTAAGAGACAATGAGAGCAACTCTTGTTTCCCTTTGACCTCAGTGTTTTTTCCAAATACAAACTTGTTTTTATTACCTTAAACATTAAGAATACTTAAAAATCATTTAGGAAGCCAAGGGAAATCAAACAAATGACCAAAGGATATTGAAAAGTGCACTATGATAAAAAATTAAGAATGTAGAAAGAGACAAATATATATATGTATGTGTGTGTGTATATATATATATATATACATAAAGAAAATTAATTAACAAAAATTTCAAGTTAATTTTTAAAAGTCAATAGCTTTTTTCTGTGTACTTTGTACAATTAAATTGCAGAACTATGGTTGGTCATTTGATCTTTAGGGGTAAGCACACTAATTTTAAATAACGAAATAAATTGAATATTTGGAAAAGCAAAAAGTTATTTTCATCTAACCACAACAGGCAGAAAGCAGAAAGTGCCACAAAGTCAAAGTAGTTTAGCCTTTCATAATAAATTGACTGAAATTACTAGATATTAGATTAGTTTATTTGCTTTCTTCCCTTATTATAGAGACAATATAAGCTCAATATATAAATTTATAAGAATTAAATACAAACTATCTGTAGTATTAGTATACAGAGATTGGCCACTGCTTGCATTAGCTTTGATTAGCCTCATTTCACACTTCAATTTTTAAAATGAATACAGTATTTGATTTTAAATAAAAATGATGTGTATCTACTTTAGATACTGAATTACTCCTGTTTAAAAATGTTTGGTAACTCTCACAATCCTGCTTCAAAGTGTATAGAAAATAAATGCAAAAAGTATCCAAAATATATTAGTTTATTCTCTACTATTTTTCAACTTTTAAATTTCTATTGATCTCAGTGATGACTGCTATTTTCCAAATACAAACTGAAAAAAAAATTCTGAAAAAACTCCTAAAGGAAGTTTCTCTCCTAATGCTTCGTAAGTTTATGCTTCAATTTTCTCTATTACATCAAGCAACCAAATTGAAATCTATTAAATTTATCAAAAATATAAGAATTACTGCTTAATATGCATAGGGCACATCTTCTGAACAGGAAATATACTTTTCTCTCTGTTAAGTACAAAATATATTGTAGTCATAAGACATCAAAAATGTACTTGATGTGGATAATTAATAACAGTGAGTCTAAGTAAAATTTTAAGCATCACTTAAATTGATTTAATTCAAATAAAATTCACCCTAGTCACCAATGGCTAATAAACTGAACCTTAATGACTCACAATCAGAAAGAAATATTTAGGTTCATATTCAAGCTTTTAAATTAAACTAGGGCAGTGCTATTGAAATTTTTTCAGTTATCAGAATACTGGAACTCAGAGCACTTTTTCTAACCACCCAAATGCTGACTAAAACTATTGAATAAATAACTTTTGGGAAAATCAGGCCCCCTCTTACAGACGGTTTTATTATATATACCTGAGAAAAATTATGGATGGAGGTCGGGGAGAGTGAACCATTATGTATTTGATCTTACAGCAAGGCTCAGTTTGGGTTGCTGAAGTCTCTGAAGAACAGTTTGAGAAACACTAAACTAGAAAGCTCTAAATAGCCACATTTATATGTGCAATTTACATCAGGGCCTCTAATGCTTTTTTAACATTTAAAAATGCCAGCAGCACCTAATAGCCTCCTCAATTATCAACCATCTCTGATGTGCTTTCATGTTCTGCCTTCAGAAAACACAGATTTGGCTCCATGTAGAGCAATCTACGGAGAAGGCAGTGGCACCCCACTCCAGTACTCTTGCCTGGAAAATCCCATGGACGGAGGAGCCTGGTGGGCTGTAGTCCATGGGGTCGCTAAGAGTCGGACATGGCTGAGCGACTTCACTTTCACTTTTCACTTTCATGCATTGGAGAAGGAAATGGCAACCCACTCCAGTGTTCTTGCCTGGAGAATCCCAGGGATGGGGGTCAGTGTTCTTGCCTGGAGAATCCCAGGGACGGGGTCGCAGAGTCAGACACGACTGAAGTGACTCAGCAGCAGTAGCAGCAGAGCCATCTAGGGTCAACGGGCCCCAAAGACACCAGAATTCTCGTACAGACGCATCACAACCTTGCATATAAACAACGTCTAGCTAGGCCTGCAGTGAACTGGACTGAGCATCGTGAGCTATCGTTTAAAATCCCATTTGCCTCCACCTTCACCCTGACTTTTCTAACTTCTCAAATCTTCTGATCTCTGATTTTCCAAACTACTGGGGTTGCCATCCCGAAGACTGCAACACAATCTAATTTGGTTTATCTCTCCCCTCCACACCACAACCAACTTGCAATGTCAGTAAACACATTATATTTCTTTTCTAAGCCAAACAGACACACAAACAGTGCTGAGCAAAGAGCTCAACAAATATTTGACCAGCACTCAACCAATTTGTTGACATCTGTGAGATTTCTGAGGTTTTTTTCAATGCTCCTTTCAAAAGAAAAAGCAGTATTCTTTACCTTACCAGAGTTTCTTTAATGTCTTGTTTGCCTTCCAGTTTACTTTCAACTCTTAACAAGGCTGGTATGTCATGGCCTTCAGAGGAGAAAATGTGCAGTGACAGAAAGTCAGCCCAGTGATTTAAGCAAACCAAGAACTCGGCACCATGGAGTTCTGAAAGTGACTACAGGGGCAGCAAAAAGGAGTGCAAGCCCGCAGACCCACTCTTTTAAGAGAGAATACATAGCTAGGGAAAACAGAGTCCCTTCCTTCCTTCTTTCCTTCCCTCCTCACCTCCTTCTCTCCTCCTTTCTTTCTTTCTTTCTTCCTCTAATTTTTTTTTATTTTTCAGGACATATTAAAAGGTAGCTACCCACCTACTTACCTGCCTTATATATTGGGTTGGCCAAAAAGTTTGTTTGAGTTTTTCCATGGAAAATAAATTTTCATGACAGATCAGTTTGTACATATTTTTCACTTTTCTAAACTTAATGTGCCATAAAAATTTTAAAGTAAGTCTCTGAAAAGTACACTCGTCCCTCATTAACCACAACAGATTGGTCCCAGGACCCGCTGGAGGTAGCAAAATCCACTGATGCTCAAAGTCAGCCTTCCTGTATCTGCAGTTCTGAGTCATGGATTCAACAGACCTTCGATCATGCAGGACTGTAGTATTCATTAAAACAAATTCACATGAGTGGACCTGCACAGTTCAAACCCATATTGTTCAAAAGTCAATTGTGTATTTGTATATTCAAATTATAAAGCCAATGTTTATAATACAGAGGAGGCTCAGAAAGGAAAACAAAAAAAATCACAGCTCTTAGCTTACCATAGATGGGGGTAAACGTGAAGTAGTTCAGATGACAAATATTATAGGCTTCAATTCTAACATCTTTCCAGATGCCCTGGGTAGGAAAAGAAGGTCCCCAGTCCCAACCAAAGGAACACTGCATCTGTAATTTCAAGGGGAAAAAAGAAGATAGACTCTAATTACCATGAGACTTAAACATTACAAAAAACCTTTTCTTTTAAAATAGTACGTACGTGTATATTGGTTTGCCAGGGCTGCCATAACAAAATACCCCAAACTGGGTGACTTAAACAACAGAATTAAGTTTTGCACAGTTCTAGAGGCTAGGAAGTACAAGATCAAGGTCCTGGCAGGTTTGGTTTCCTGGGCTGACAGATGGCCGCCTTCTCACGGTGCCCTTAACAGCCTCTTCTGTGCACACACACATATACCCTTGCTGTTGTCGAAATTTCCTCTTCCGATACGGACATCAATGATACTGGATTAGGACTAATCCTAATGGTCTCATTTAACTTAATCACCTCTTTAAAGTTCTCACCCCCAAACCAGGAGACATTTTGATCTTATTGAGGGTCAGGACTTCAATACATACATTTGGGGGGGGGGGGGGAGGAGGTACACAGAATTCAGTCCATGATAGTGTGCATGTCTGTCCCATTTACGGCATCTAAAATAACCCACAATGCACACTCCTGGTATTCACACCCTAGTGTAACCCCCTTCCCTTGAGTATGACATGACCTAATGAATCACTTCTAACCAACAGAATACAGCAGCGATGAGAGCATGTCCAAAATTAGGTTATAGAAGACTGTACCTTCTGTCTTAGGTCAGCTCTCTCTTGGCCAAGAGGGAAGTTGGCTGCCATGCTGCGAGGCAATTCTGGAAGAGGGCCACATGAGTGAGCCTGGAGGCCCATCTCAGGCCACCAATAAGCACATGGTGGAGCTTAGGCAGGCCTCACCCAGGCTTAAAGTGACTGCAGCCCTGGTCCAGAGTTTGTCAGTAACCTCATGAGTGGCCTTGAGCCAGAAGTACCCAGCTAAGACACACCTGCATTCTTGGCTGACAGAAACTGTGATAACAAACCTTGTTTTAAGCTGGTAAGTTTTGGAATAATTGTTACACAGCAATAGATAACTTAATACAATAACTAATCTATCAACCTAGGCAACATAGTTAAATTTGGTAGAAAAGTTCCAAGACTATAAAATCTAATTATGTATATTTATCCTTCAAAAGCATATTACGCTGAAGCAACACAATAGATACTCTTTAAATTTCTTCAAAATGTCTCTGAACCTACTACTATAGTTAAAGGTAATAACTATAAAAAATGAGGAAACATACTGAAAGATAAAAATATGTTTAAACAGGATTAAGAGACTGGCTAGACTTGCAAACCCCTATTTCCTCCAGGATGAATTCAGAAGTCCTAGGTTCTGAACTTACATCCCAGAAACAATAAGTTCAGAATTTACACATCTATTGCAATTACCCTTCAATTAAAAATAAATAAATTTTTGAAAGTATAAAAAAACAAAATAGCAAGAAAAGAGAAAAAAAAAAGCCCTCAACATTCAAAAACTAAAATCATGGCATCCAGTCTCATCACTTCATTAAAAAAAGAAAAAAAAAAAAAAAAAAAGACTTTAGGCACTGACAGAGGTAACCAGAGCAGAATTTTTCTAACTTCCACTTCGTAAAAGAAAAAAAAATTTCTAAAACACAGTCAATTAAAATGTGTGAGGCTGAGTTAAGCTTTTAAAAGAGAACAAACACCAGAGGAAGTAATGAGATCTTCCTGAAGGGAGAACTTGCAGAACAGAGCCTAAGGATCTGGCCACAGTGTTCTCATTTAAGCATTTGATATTATTTCCTAAGTTCTGTACTTATCTGTAACAGAGATAATTCAGTCTCCATTACAGAGAAAAACAAACTACTAAAACCACTTCACAGCATCCACATCCATATAAAATCAGGACTTAAGGATCTCATGTTCAGAATGAAGACCATCTTGAGGATAGTTATTGCAGGGTTTTTAAGTTCAGATATGTAATTATTTTATTAGGAATAGAGAGAAGGAGGAGGGCAAAAATATTCAACATCTTAAAAGGCAGATTATTTTCCCCAGCAAGGGTTACAAATCACTCTAATTTATATAATCTCTTCAAATAAAAGTTTTCACTTATTCAAAAATATTTGTGCAGTGCTCTCTATGTTTCGGCCTGGGAGTATATTAACATACCAAATAGAAACAGTCCTTTTGCTTACTGCACTCACAGTATATAGCAAGAGATTCAGGCATTGAACAAATATTCACAAAGGAAAATAAAGGAAACAAATTGAACAAATAATCATAAAGGAAATAGCCAGGGAACATATAATGGTGTCAAGGCAAGTCCCCCTGAATAATAGTGACTTTTAAAAGGAGACTTGAAAGTCTCACTTTTAAGTGAGTACCACTTGTCCAGTGTGTTTAGGGGAGAGGGAATGAAGGCATCCTTTCAGAAGGAATAGCATGTATGAAGTCCTCAAGATGCTAGAGAACACGGTGCATTCCAGGAAATGAAAACAGTGGAAAGAGATGAGCAGAAGACTAGAACAGTGGGCACATGGGCCAAACTTAGAGCTAAGAACTTTAGACTTTAGCCTAAAAGCAACGAGAAACTGTTGAAGAGTTTAAAGGGGGGTGGGGGGCGGGGTGCCGAGATGATTTTCATCTGAAAGGAACACTCTGGCTGTTCCCTGGGCAAATTAATTGGAGTGAGGCAAACAAGGTCACTGGGTACCAGTTGTGCAACCAAAGCAATACCTGATGCAAGAAATAGTAACAGATGGAACCCAAGTGTGGGAGTAGAGAGGAAGCGTGAGCAGATTCAGGAGCTACTAAAAAGGCAGCATCCACATCATCAACAGGACTTTTAAAAAACAGACAGGGAGGTATCAAAAACAACTCTGAGGTTCCTGGCTTGAGCAACTGCTGCAAATGGTACTCCGTTCAGTGAGACAGAGAGCCCCGGGAGCAGGGTTTAGATCCCAAGTGCAGTGCTGGGCACAATGAGCTTCAGGCACCCATGGTATGCATGTACAATGGAATACTAGTCAGCCTTAAAAAAGGAAGGAAATTCTGGCACGTGCTACAACACAGATGAACCTTGAAGACATTATATTAGTATCTGAGTAGGATATGACCCAATGAATCACTTTTAACTCACAGAATAGAGCAGCAATAAGAGCATGTCTAAAATTAGGTTATAAAAGATTTTTGAAGTGAACTAAGTCAGTCACAAATAGACAAATATTGTATGATTCTACTGGTATGAGGTATCTAGAGGATTAAAACTCCTAGAATCTGAAAGATGGTGGTTGCCAGGGGCTGAGAGTTGAGGGAAAGTGGGGAGTTCTTTTTTTAATGAGTACAGAGTTTGTTTTGCAAGATGAAACAGTTCTAGAGACTGATTTCACACAATGTGAATATATTCAATATCACTGAATATACAATTAAAAGAATTAAGATGGTAAATTTTGTGTTATGTGTATTTTATCACAATTAAACTTTTTTTAAATAAAAATACAATTAAAAACGAAGTGTGACATAATATACTAATTAATCCCTGTATTAGTCATCAAGACTGAGAACAGACCCAAAGAGAATTAATCCCTGTGGCTTTCTTCTCTTTTGTTAGATGTTATGAGAACCTGGCATTAAAACATCGCACATCAGCAAATGCATTAACAGTTGCAGAAGGCTAATAACCAGTATTGCTCATAAATATGAACCCTACAGTCTGATGTAAAGCTTGATAAACGTAAGTGCTTTTAAAAAAAATTGTAAAGAGGGAATGCCCTGGCAGTCCCGTAGTTAAGGATTCCGGTAGGGGGCATGGGTTTGATCCCTGGTCAGGACACAAAGATCCTGCAAGCCTCGTGGCATAGCCAAAATAAAAATTGTAAAGGTGCATTATCAGTCACCTATTTTTCTTCTTTTTCCAATGTTATCTAAGTTCTTGGGTACTCCTCAAGAAGGGAACCTAGAAAGAAAAGTTCTCCTCAAAAATTCATATAACTTTTGGTTCTTACTTCTAATTTTTACTATAAATCCCACAAAGGGGCAGGAGAGAGATGCCCACCTTCTGAAATACAACTGCAGTCTTCAAACAAGCATTTCATATACCATCATCCCATCCTTAAGGCTAACGACCCTCCACTGTGAGACCCTTACCTTGCGAATAAAGTTGACATGACATTCGCCATCCTGCACAGGCGGAGGGCAGCTGGGGGGCACCCAGTAGGCAGTGTGAAGTTTACTCCTCTGGTCCGCATATATCACTGGTGACTGGAAACGCACCTCAATGATGTTCACTGCTTGGACCACATGTGTAATATCAAAGCTCTAAATTAAACAGAAAGAACATTTATGAAAGCATCCTCATGTACAAAATTTAAGACATAGGCAAAATGTATGAAAGATGCATAAAATAACTGAAATTTTTAGGTCTAGCCTTTTTGCTGAAGAAAGAATTTCTCCAAGATAGTATAACTTCAGTTCAATTCAGTTGCTCAGTCGTGTCAGACTCTTTGTGACCCCATGGACTGCAGCACACCAGTCTTCCCTGTCTATCTCCAACTCCCGGAGCTTACCCAAACTCATGTCCATCAAGTCGGTGATGCCATCCAACCATCTCATCCTCTGTCGTCCCCTTCTCCTCCCGCCTTCAATCTTCCCCAGCATCAGAGTCTTTTCAACTGAGTCAGTTCTTCGCATCAGGTGACCAAAGTATTGGAGTTTCAGCTTCAGCATCAGTCCTTCCAATGAACACCCAGGACTGACCTCCTTTAGGATGGACTGGTTGGATCTCTTTGCAGTCCAAGGGACTCTCAAGAGTCTTCTCCAACACCACAGTTCAAAAGCATCAATTCTTTGGCCCTCAGCTTTCTTTATAGTCCAACTCTCACATCCATACATGACCACTGGAAAAACCATAGCCTTGACTAGATGGACTTTTGTTAGCAAAGTAATGTCTCTGCTTTTTAATATGCTGTCTACGTTGGTCACAGCTTTTCTTCCATGGAGTAAGCGTCTTTTGATTTCATGGATACAGTCACCATCTGCAGTGATTTTCGAGCCCAAGAAAATAAAATCATCCACTGTTTCCACTGTTTCCCCATCTATTTGACATGAAGTGATGGAACCAGATGCCATGATCTTAGTTTCCTGAATGTTGAGTTTTAAGACAACTTTTTCACTTTCCTGTTTCTCTTTCATCAAGAGGCTCTTTAGTTCCTCTCTACTTTCTGCCATAAGGGTGGTGTCATCTGCATACCTGAGGTTATTGATATTTCTCCCGGCAATCTTGATTCCACCTTGTGCTTCATCCAGCCTGGCATGTCACATGATGTACTCTGCATATAAGCTAAATCAGCAGGGTGACAATATACAGGCTTGACATACTCCTTTCCCAATTTGGAACCAGTCTGTTGTTTCATGTCCAGTTCTAACTGTTGCTTCTTGGCCTGCATACAGATTTTTCAGGAGGCAGGTCAGGTGGTCTGGTATTCCCATCTCTTGAAGAATTTTCCACACTTTGTTGTGATCCACACAATCAAAGGCTTTGGTATAGTCAATAAAGCAGAACTAGATGTTTTTCTGGAACTCTCTTGCTTTTTCTACGATCCAGCGGATGTCAGCAATTTGATCGCTGGTTCCTCTGCCTTTTCTAAATTCAGCTTGTATAACTTAGTTGCCAACTTTTAGTTATAACTGATCACATTCTCCTACCCAAACATAGATTTCTAGGTTTTCTCCTGCTATTTTTACTGAGAGATGAGGGTCCAGGGCCAACAGAGCAAACAGAGGCTATGTTCAGTCCTGGAAAGTCTGCTCTTGCTATTTACTTATGGCTTTGCATTGCCAAGTATTTCCTAGATACTTCATAATAACCTGACCCTCCGGTATGCAGAGCATGTATTTCTAAGTCATAAGTTATTTTTGTTTTGAAAAGTCTACCCTTGACAGGGAAGGGAAATCAGGATAGAATCTCTTAAGGTAACACTTCCAGAAAGGAAGGAACACTTCCTTTTAAAAATGGCTTGTCAGTTGTCACTTCCCTTGAAACTCTGGATTCCAAACAACAGAGAAGGGAACAGCATTTTCAAACATTTTCTATGTGCCAAAAACTAAACCAATCATTTCATACAATTAACTCATTAAATCCTCACAATAATTCTATAGGGCTTGAGTGTCTTCATCACTCAACAAATATGGCAACTGAGAGATAAAGTAACTTACCCATTGCATCAAAGGACTTGTTCTTGCTGCTCGTGATAACAATGAACACAAATACAAACAGTGGTTCTTTTTAACCTGATGTCCTTATGTACTTACGTATCTTCTGAACATGTTGTCTGTTTTGCCAATAGGAACGCTGTTGAGCAGGACTACTGCAACTGTATCGATACCCTCAAAAACCAAATTTACTTTACTCCATTTGCTAAAAAAAGAGACGATTTTTAAAATGAGATGAATAAAAAATAAATAAATAAAACAAGATGAATAAAACATTAACTTAGATAACTAGTCTTTTTTTATTAAGAATGAAAGGAATAAATATTTCAGAGAAAATATACATTCTTGGAAGGCAATTTTCAATAAAATTTTCAGAAATACTGCTTTAATACATTTTTATGTTGTATGATACAGTTTAACTTTCTTGATAATATTTCAATCATTATCAAATCATGAGCATAACTTCTAATTTCCATGCATTGACTTTTTCCCTAGAACTTCACAAAGTTCTTATATGAATCAAGTTCAATATTGATAACAGACACAAAACATTTTCACAAACTGTTATATTTACTGATGCTAAGAGAACACATTAACCAACTAGCAAGTATCTATGAGTAAATATTATGTGCCCAGTACTCTGCTAAGCCTTACAGAGAACTAAAACAGTCTCTGAATTTAAGGAATCTGAAATCTGTTTGGCATTCAAGCCTAAAACACAGGAAACAAAGAGAAAGCTTCCAATCTCTTCTACTTTGGGATACAGTCTTGATGAACAGACAAGTGATATCAGTTTATGTTATAAAGAAAGACTTCAAGAAGGAAACAAGAGTTTAAAGAACAAAATAAATAAAATGTGGCATATCCATACAATAAAATAGTATTCAGCAATAAAAAGAAGTACTGGTGGCCACGACAACACAGACAAACTTGAAAACATCATTATGCTAAGTGAAAGAAGCCAGTCATAAAAAGGAGGTATATATTGTACAATTCCATTTCTTTGAGACTTCCAGAAGAGAAAACTGCATAGCGATAAAAAATAAATTAGCAGTTGCCTAGGGCTGGGAGAAGAATAGGAGGATGGTGATGCAGGAAGTGGTACAGGATTTGCAACAGTAAGCAGCATTTTCACAGACAAGCGGAGAAGGTTAAACTTGATCTGCCAATCAAAAGGAAGACACTCTCATTCTTAAGCAAAAATGTCATGGTAAAATAAACATTTGAGGGCTTTCCTGGAGGTCAAGTGGTTAAGAATTCGCCTAACTGGTTCAATCTCTGGTCCAGGAAGATCCCACATGCCTCGGGGCAACTAAGCCCATGTACCACAACTGCTGAAGCCCAGGGCCTGTGATCTGCAACAAGAGAAGCCTGTGCATCACAACTAGACAGTAACTTCCACAGCAATAACCAAAGCCTGAGCACAGCAACAGAGACCCAGAGCAGCAGAAAAATAAAATAAATAAGCATTTGGAAGAGATGAATCTAATGTTTCTACATACAGAAGACTAGAGAATAAAAAGATAAAGCAAGAAATCTTAGTAGGTAGCACAGGCCTAATGCCAGGTATTAAGGCCTAGGCAAAGGTATAAAGGCCAGGTATAAAGGCCTAGGCAAAGGTGAAAACTTAGAAATGAGGAGGCAGGGGCTGAATCAAGAGAAATGACAGGCAAAAATTAACAGAACTCAGAAACAGGCCAAATACAGGAAGATGAAGAAAAGATATGATAAGCCAAAAACTCCCTGGGCATGGGAGATTGGGAAGATGATATTATCTCAAGAGAAACAGTGAGGTGGTTGGAATCTAATGCACGCTTTAAGTCGGACAGTCAATTGGTTAACTAAATGTTGAGTTCAAGATGAAAGAGGACCCCCTATTGGAGATATTTTAAGTATCAGCTGGAAATAAGAGTCTGGAACACTGTAACTCCGATGATATTGAGCACTATTTTCTGGCTTTATTTCTTCTTTAAGAAGCTAGTGATTAATTACCGCCCGCCCCCCAAAAAAGGTCATATTAAAAGGACAGAGGGTTTTTTTTTTAATTTAGCAATAATGGTGGTAGATATTAATATAATTAGGTTGAAGCTTCCAAGGTGGCCCAGTGGTAAAGAATCTGCCTGCCAATGCAGGAGACACAGGTTCAGTCCTTAGGTTGGGAAGATCCCCTGGAGTAGGAAATAGCAACTCATTCTAGTATTCTTGCCTGGAAAATTCCATGGACAGAGGAGACTGGCAGGATACAGTCCATGGGGGTGCAAAGAGTTGGGCAAGACTGAGCAACTCAGCACACACATACATAATTGGGTTACATTCTGCTACATAGGACATTACTGAAAACTATACCATGCCTTTCCTCATGTCCTCATGATATAATATAAGGCCAACACCATAGTTTCTGTGGCTGGTTAACACTATATCAAACAAATTATGTATCTCTAAGCCTATTTGACAACATTGTAAATATATATACTTTATGGATTACTGGGAGAGCAGGGAAAAGAAAAGGAAGATAATAGAACTAATCTAGGTGATGCCATTATAACCACTGGGAAAAAATGACTGAATAAAAAATAATTCTGTGACTGATGATCAGCAGCACAATCCTCATATACAAATCAAAATATAAATCATATTTTCACTTTTATAGTTCAGGCTTTAGTATGACAATGTAACCTAAACAAACAAAAGATTATTGCAAACAGAAAAAGAAGTTCAAATAACAATTATTATTATTATGAATAAACAGACATAGATATAAATATAGATATACACACATATGTACCTCATATCAAAGCGGAGTTTAAATTTCTTGGTATAGGTCCAGTTATCCAAGGCGATCCATCTGTAGTCAAGGTTATTAAATCTGTAGTAAGGATCCTGTTGATAAAAAATACAGTAGGTGATTAAATATGCAAAAATAATTAATGAAATAAACCAGTAATGATAGTTATTTATTACCTAAAAAATCAATGAACGATTGGCCTAGGAATGCAAGCATTTCATATGCTAGCCCATCCCATCCTCAAGGCTAAAGCTCCGTCTTTTTAAGATACCATTACCTTTCAAACAAAGTTGCCAGGGCATTAATATCCTAAAAATACTAAAAATATTTTTAAATGTAAAAGTCTAACAAAGAACCCAAAATGAAAGCATGCTGAGATACAACTATTACAGTTTCATGAGGACTTCCCTGTTGGCTCAGATGGCAAAGAATCTCCCTGCGGTGCCAGAGACCTGAGTTCAATCCCTGGGTCGGGAAGATCCCCTGAAGTAGAGCAAGGCAACACACCCCAGTATTCTTACCTGGAGAATCCCATGGAGGAGGAGTCTGGTGGGCTATAGTCCGTGGGGTTGCCAAGAGTCAGACATGACTAAGCAACCAGCACACACAAAGTTTCATTATCAAAGAAATATGTGGAGACGTGGAAATGAAGACTGGGTTCTCCACATATGTGGAGATGAAGATTGCGTTCCCCTGTTAAAACCAAACACAGAACCTGCAAGGTCACAGCAGAGAACGACCGGCAGCACTTTCAATGGCGGGACGCCATCAGGCACTCCCTGCCCTCTGGTTCTCACTCTGCATCTTGCTGCCACTGTCCCAGCCGGCTTCCCCCGGGGAATGCTTCTTCTCTGTCGCCCAAAGATCAGCCAAACTCCCCACTCCTTGGATTTACTCTGCATTTACAGAGCTATTTTTCACTCAGCTTTACTGTGTGTGCGTGCATGCTAAGTCGCTTCAGTCATGTCCAACTCTTTGCAACCCTATGGACTGTAGCCCACCAGGCTCCTCTGTCCATGAGATTCTCCAGGCAAGAACACTGGAGTGGGCTGCCATGCCCTCCTCTAGGAGATCTTCCCAACCCAGGGATCGAACCCAGGTCTCTTACCTCTTACGTCTCCTGAATTGGCAGGTGGGTTCTTCACCATTAGCACCACCTGGGGAGCCCTAAGATTCACTATGCTATGCGGTGCTCAGCTGGTCAGTAGTATCCAACTCTTTGTGACACCATGTACTGTAGCCTACCAGGCTCCTCTGTCCATGGGGATTCCCCAGGCAAGAATACTGGAGTGGGCTGCCATGCCCTCCTCCAGGGGATCATCCCAACGCAGGGGTTGAACCCAGGTGTCCCACATTGCAGGAGGATTCTTTACCAGCTGAACCAGCAGGGAAGCCCAAGAATACTGGAGTGGGTAACCTATCCCTTCTCCAGGGGAACTTCCCAACCCAGGACTCAAATTGGAGTCTCCAGCATTGCAGACGGATTCTTTCCCATCTGAGCCATCAGGGAAACCCTTAGTTTACTAAGTGAGCACAGAAAGTATCTCTCCAGAGAACATGCAGGCAGCACAGACACTGTCAAACTTACAGACTTCATGTTTCCTATACTAGCCTAGACCAGGTCTGCAAACTACAACCCACAGGCCTAATGCAGCTCACTATCTGTTTTTGGGCGGCCAGTGAACTAAAAACAGACATGCATCAGTCAAGTTTTACAGGAGCACAGACAGGTCCATTCCTTTGTAAATTATATACAGCAGTTTTCACACTATAATATCAGAGCTGAGTAGACATGACAGAGACCTAATGACCCATGATGCCTAAAACAGCATTAATAACATCTGGCCCTTCATCAGCCTCTGCCTTCGATGACTGGCCTGCTGGGTGTTCACAAATGCTATTCTCTCTGAGGGTCCAGCCCCAATTCCTCCTGTCCATAATACTTACATCTTTCTTCCCCTTCTCATTTTCTACCCTTTAGCTTCCTGATGAGAGCTCCCAGGCAGGAGGCAGAATGGTACAAGAAGCTTGTCTGTTCATCTGTCTGTGAACACCACCACAGCTACATGGAGGGACATCGTGCAGGCTAAGAGGGCCTCTCGCCTCTGACTGGGCCAGGGCCAAGGGCGATTTCCTTAGGAACTGCAACTCCAAGTTGAGAGGGAAAAGCCAGCTTTATCTACGTTCCACAGAGGTAAGGGCTGACCATTGACAACAGCCAGTTGGGCACCTGCCCAGGACACAAAATGTAAGAGGCACTATAACATCACTGGGTGTGTATCAAAATGGAAAGAAAACGTGTCAACCAGAAACTGCTCCTGACTGGAAGAAACATTTTGGTATCACAGGGGCGATCAGCAGTTGACCAGATTTAACAACCAATAATCACCAACCTGACTTTTAAGGTCTGGTTAACCTGTGAGCTTTTTGTTCTGCTAAATGCAGTGCGCCAGACCCAGCCCACTTGCTTCCTTCTCTTCTCTTTGCCCACACACAGCGCCCAGCACACTCCACCGAACTAATGTGAAGTAAATAGTTAAGGACACAGGTTTGAAGAGGCACCTAATTATAAGCCTGCCCATGTGTCTCCATCCTGCCCTATTTATAACTCTACACTGTGGACTTAATCCAATACAGTTAAAAATATCAGAAGGAAGGTGTGAAGGCCAACGTAGTTGCAACACTTCAACCTGCTAAGGTTCAACCTGCTAACATCCTCAGGGATGGCTGATGGGGCACAAGACTGCTTCCTATCTCCCAGATCCTTGAAGGAAGTGGCATGTTGAGCTCCAGCAGGTAATCGTCTCAGACAAATTTTTTCTAGACAAGGAGAATTTAGATGTTAAATATTTCCTATTTCTTGAAAGAAGCAAATCTGGAAAGGCTACAGACCCAGTTCAGTTCAGTTCAGTTCAGTCACTCAGTTGTGTCCAACTCTTTGCAAGCCCATGAACCGCAGCAAGCCAGGCCTCCCTGTCCATCACCAACTCCTGGAGTTCACCCAAACCCATGTCCATTGAGTTGGTGATGCCATCCAGCCATCTCATCCTCTGTCGTCCCCTTCTCCTCCTGCCCTCAATCTTTCCCAGCATCAGGCTCTTTTCCAATGAGTCAGCTCCTCACATCAGGTGACCAAAGTATCGGAGTTTCAGCTTCAACATCAGTCCTTCCAATGAACACCCAGGACTGATCTCCTTTAGGATGGACTGGTTGGATCATCTTGCAGTCCAAGGGACTCTCAAGAGTCTTCTCCAACACCACAGTTCAAAAGCATCAATTCTTCAGCGCTCAGCTTTCTTCACAGTCCAACTCTCACATCCATACATGACCACTGGAAAAACCATAGCCTTGACTAGACGGACCTTTGTTGGCAAAGTAATGTCTCTGCTTTTTAATATGCTGTCTAGGTTGGTCATAACTTTCCTTCCAAGGAGTAAGCGTCTTTTAATTTCATGGCTGCAATCACCATCTGCAGTGATTTTGGAGCCCCCAAAAATAAAGTCTGACACTGTTTCCACTGTTTCCCCATCTATTTCCCATGAAGTGATGGGACCAGATGCCATGATCTTAGTTTTCTGAATGTTGAGCTTTAAGCCAACTTTTTCACTCTCCTCTTTCACTTTCATCAAGAGGCTCTTTAGTTCTTCTTCACTTTCTGCCATAAGGGTGGTGTCATCTGCATATCTGAGGTTATTGATATTTCTCCCGGCAATCTTGATTCCAGCTTGTGCTTCTTCCAGCCCAGCATTTCTCATGATGTACTCTGCATATAAGTTAAATAAGCAGGGTGACAATATACAGCCTTGACGTACTCCTTTTCCTATTTGGAACCAGTCTGTTGTTCCATGTCCAGTTCTAACTGTTGCTTCCTGACCTGCATACAGGTTTCTCAAGAGGCAGGTCAGGTGGTCTGGTATTCCCATCTCTTTCAGAATTTTCCACAGTTTATTGTGATCCACACAGTCAAAGGCTTTGGCATAGTCAATAAAGCAGAAATAGATGTTTTTCTGGAACTCTCTTGCTTTTTCGATGATCCAGCGGATGTTGGCAATTTGATCTCTGGTTCCTCTGCCTTTTCTAAAACCAGCTTGAACATCTGGAAGTTCACGGTTCACGTATTGCTGAAGCCTGGCTTGGAGAATTTTGAGCATTACTTTACTAGCGTGTGAGATGAGTGCAATTGTGCGGTAGTTTGAGCATTCTTTGGCATTGCCTTTCTTTGGGATTGGAATGAAAACTGACCTTTTCCAGTCCTGTGGCCACTGCTGAGTTTTCCAAATTTGCTGGCATATTGAGTGCAGCACTTTCACAGCATCATCTTTCAGGATTTGAAATAGCTCAACTGGAATTCTATCACCTCCACTAGCTTTGTTCATAGTAATGCTTTCTAAGGCCCACTTGACTTCATATTCCAAGATGTCTGGCTCTAGGTGAGTGATCACACCATCGTGATTATCTGGGTCGGGAAGATCTTTTTTGTACAGTTCTTCTGTGTATTCTTGCCACCTCTTCTTAATATCTTCTGCTTCTGTTAGGTCCCTACCATTTCTGTCCTTTATTGTGCCCATCTTTGCATGAAATGTTTCCTTGGTAGCTCTAATTTTCTTGAAGAGATCTCTAGTCTTTCCCATTCTATTGTTTTCCTCTATTTCTTTGCATTGATCGCTGAGGAAGGCTTTCTTATCTCTCCTTGCTATTCTTTGGAACTCTTCAGTCAAATGGGAATATCTTTCCTTTTCTCCTTTGCTTTTCGCTTCCCTTCTTTCCACTTCCCTTCTTTTCACAGCTATTTGCAAGGCCTCCTCAGACAGCCATTTTGCTTTTTTGCATTTCTTTTTCTTGGGGATGGTCTTGATTCCTGTCTCCGGTACAATGTCACGAACCTCCGTCCATAGTTCAACAGGCCCTCTGGCTACAGATTATATGATGCCAATTATATGATATTCTGGAAAGGCAAAGCTATGGAGACACTAAAAGCATCAGTGGATACCGGAAATAAAGGAGGAGAGAAGGATGAACAGGTAGAGAACAGAGGATCTTTAGGGCAGTGAAACTATTCTGAGTGATACTATGACGGTGGGTACATATCATTATA